AGCAGTCGAAACGTCGCGATCTACATCTCAAGTGACTACATCGTGAGACAAACGATAATACACTTTATTATTGCATCTACCACGATGAATAACAACCTTAAATTGATTTAATTACAATATGTAGATTTAGCCAAGCCTAAAAGTGGACCCTGATTGCAATATTTGTTCTTCTTAGATCAGAAACTCAAAAAATGATCAATTGCGAGGATGTAATTGTTGAACGCGTGGTTTTGCTATTTTTCCAGTTAAATTTTAACAAACTATACCCAGTAAGGGTAACCAAGATTGTAGAAATTACATACGCAATATATCAGGGACTTTCTGAGAGATGATTGTGCAGGAATATGTCGGAAGAAAAATCAACAACACGCCAGGGGTTAATTTGCACCGAAATTTTGCCTTTGCATGTACTCCCTCCTTCTCCCCCAGAGTAATAACCTGGCTTGAGCCTGCGATCCAATCGGAAAACCACTAAACTGGTCAGCGATCAACTTCAAAAAAACATGTGACCTCAATGAGCTCTAAACTGAACCTGTGATATGGTCATGCGATACTGGTCAGCAGATAGCTTGTTGTGACAGCTGTCAATAAACCATAACATGGATGCCCAAAATCAAAGATGTAGAGGTGTATGGCAATGGTGCTACTCTCTTATTTTCCAAGTATCAGTGTATGGATGTATGGATGTATGGACAGTCATGTCACAACCACAATTTTTTAGATTGATGGGTTACCAAATTTTCTAAGGTATCAGGGGCTTTGCCCGTGTGCCTTTGAGCACACAGGAGCTCTGTTATTAATAATGTAATTTTCTACTGAGTTCTAACTAGATATGCTGAAATACTGGACACCAATGTGATTGTATATTGTGGAAATTTTAAAGTGAATTTAAGGTCAAAATTATTTCAAACTATTTTGATTTCCAGGTTCATTACAACTGTAAGTTATAATCCTAACATAAAGGAATATACAAATCAAACTACTGGATTAGTTTAAAATCATTTTGTTATGAAATTCTTTTTAAACTACAGCATTGACATGACTAGCCAACAATCTTGCAGGGTTATTTTATTGCTGGGACTGTACCATATTGATTGAGGTTATTGAAATTTTAAAATTACCTTTTCTGTAGCTGGGTAGTCTGTGTAGCCAGCAATTAGACCTGCATGGCAGCAAACAATGTAGAGATTTTTTAACCTGGGCATTACATTATGCGAGTGACAGACTCATTAATCAATCAGGCCCAGTTAAATCGTCAAAGTTTACATGTGCTGAGCCTATCACCCATTTGAGCAACTCAAATCATTAAGTTTGACAGTTTCTTTTCAGAACTCAAACTGAATGGTGTTGAACTTACTTGCATCAGCACAAAATAATATATTAAGTATCCCTAGCTGGTGTATGCATTGTGGTTCAATGTTACCCTTGGCATAAATTATAATTTACCTTTGTTCTGGAAATAAAGGCAAATAACAATTTGTACTAGGGGTAACATTGAACCCCAACATACATGTACAACTCATGTATACATTAAATGTGGCATATGACATTTGAATCTAAGTCAAACTTCTGCCATTCTACTTGACTGCCATGGTCCAATAGAACAGCAAGGTCATTACCCAAATAAAAATATAATGTGTTTCAAAAGTCAAACTTAATCTGTACCTAAATAGTGATCCATTAGGTTCAATGCATGTATGTGTTACAAAGGTCAATGCTTGAACCAGGCCTCAGAAAACACTTGCAATGGGAATTAATGGCCAAATAATGTTCACGTATGATAACTTAATTTTTATTAGTTATGCCTATTTTTAATTCACTATAGGTGACCCCTATGTGTATTGTTATTTTCATTCAGGTTTATGCATGGACCTCTCCTAATATAATCAAAACAACACATCTAAACTATGTGAAACAGGACCTCACATATAGACAACAAGTAAGTCAACTAAAGTGAGTTAATTAGCTGGAGACTTCAGGCTGGTTAATAACATTTAATAGATTGAATAATTATACACACCATCATATTGAGAGATAATGTTGCCCATTTGTCTCCAGAGTGAGCTGTTGTTTGATCCACTGGCTATTTTGCTCCTCATCCATTCTTCCTATAAATTAACACTTTTACACATGTATTGAGTGTGTATGAGTTACCAGACTATGAAGTCTACTATTTTGTTGACACGCTGCCTAAGCCCCTTGATGCAGCCCAACAAAATGACAAAAGCAACTGGAAACGGATGACGATACAACTGAAAAAATTACTGTTAGCTGTACACTAGTATGACTTTGGCAACTGGAAAATAACAGAACTCACAAGGTGCGCAATAGCACATGAGTGTTACGTCATTAGAGATGGTGCCAAAATGGTACATGGCCCAATAAAAATATTTCGCTGTGCTTTCAGCTTGGTTATGAAGAAAACCTAATCGAAGTTACATCAAAACCTTCACAAATTAAATAGCATTCTTCTGTGATCGAATGCAGCTATCATATAAAGTGCTGTGTGGTTTGTAATACGGTAACAGTAAAGTAAAGGTACTTTTGTCTCCATTTCTACTAAGGAGTTGTTGGAAAACAACTTTGAACAACTTAAATTAAGGTGTTAATGGCAGTTTCATAAAAATCTTATAAGGTGGTGTAAATCACCTTTATGTTTTCATTATGGTTTATGGAATTTAAGTAGAGTTACTTCCCAGATTAATCCGGGGAGTGCCTGGCATTTGCCTTCTTTTTTGTTCTTATATGTATCCCAGGAGCATTTGACCCATGTCCCCACCCCAAGGAATTTGCCATTTTTGAGAAAAACTGCCATTGCCACAGGTTTGACATTACACAAAATTTATTAATACATGCACAAATTTGCAAGCCATTGTCATGATCTGTCAATGTTCATCTCAAGGCTAGCGCTGTCAAGAATCAGGGAAGGAACCAATTGGTTCATGACACCAGATTCTGGTACCATGGAAAAAAAAATTTAAAGTAGAACATTATGTTATGGCAAAAAGAAACAGGGATCAGGTGATGTTAGAAGGGGTAAGTGGATTAAAGAGGTCTCAGGCTTAAAAGAGGGTAGAGAAGAATACTCAGTATAGTCGAACCTAGGTGGACACCTCAATCCTGTAAGTGGACAATTGGAAATGGTCCCAGCCACATAATGTCTCATAAGCAGACACCTCTCTTAAGCGAATGTTCACCTCTCTNACGTTCTACACAATGTACCATGACCAGCGACCAGGACTATATAATTATACATATTTGAATTAATTGCTGTTATTCCTGAATGGGGTACTACAGACATCCACTGATGGGTTAGCAACCTGCAGTTAATCCAGTTTACTAAACTGTGACATTTTGCCAAGTCACCCTAACAACAGTTTATGACAGTGAGAAGATCCACAACTGTTTGTGCCCCAAAATTAAAGGCCTTTGAGTGAAAGGCAAAAATGCAGTGTGAAAAACGGGCCCCCAAAACTCCAGATTTGTGGGAGGCCATTGTTGTATTTTTGCCTGACTCAAGGAAACAAGAGGGACTTCTTGAAGTCTATTTATAATAACAAATGTCTGCAGTATCTACATATGATTTTAGCCAGTGTACTAAGCTGGCTAGCTGAGCACTGTAAGTAGACCTTAAGAGGAACTAGGCACTTAAGTGAGAAAATATGATGTATCTAACATTTCAAATGACTCTGACTGGGATTAATTCTCTTCTCTAGCTTACAGTAATGTAGCTTATAGCTAGGGTGCAAATACAGAACGCTCAGTCCAGAGCCTAACACTCCACTTAATCATTAGTTCACGACCGTACAGAAGTTAAGTATCACCTTCAGCCAATTATGATAAACGGTACACTGTATACATAAATTATTGTAATCATAGTTACCCTGTGGTGTTAATTGCATCCTCATATGTCCCATAAGCTACACCATGGTCTTTGTCAAGTATACCAAACTCTATGTGATACTTTCTGTAACGAGAATATGGTAAATCTATCAGTATGAAAATGGCAAAACCATTGATAAAATTACATGTAAAGTGTATCTTGGCCTGCTGCTGACGTGGCAGAATAATCTCTCAAGGCAGCAGCACCACGTGGCTCTGCAGTTGTTCGGGTTTGATGTATGTACATTTGTGCATCGCATTCCAATTGCAGACTTGAT